TGGGGATCTTGGTCCCACAACCACAGAAAGTGAATTCTGTTCAATAACTTGATTGAGGTTGGAAGAGCTTCAGATGAGATTACCTGGAGGTGTCCTGGACACCTTAATTTCAGCCTTGTGAGACCCTGAGCAGAGGACCCAGTTACTTGGGCCCTGACTTCTGACCTACAGAATTTTGAGAAGAGTTGTTTTTAAGCCTCTGCCTTTGTGGTAATTTGTGACTAATAGCAGCACCTTCACTTTGTAGTCTTCCTGGCTTCCCAGGGCCCAGCACTCCAGTGAGTCCTGCACTCACTGTGTTGTGCAGCCTGTATATCACATGGGGGTGTTGTTAGGTGCCATGGAGTGGTTCCAATTCATAGTGACCCTGTGTACAACAGAACGGAAAACTGCCCGGTCCTGCACCATCCTCACAACCGTTCTGCTGTTTCAGCCCATTGTTTTAGCTACTGTGTCAATCCATCTCATTGAGGGGCTTCCTCTTTTTTGCTGACCCTCTACTTTACCAAGCATGACGTCCTTCTCCAGCGACTGGTCCCTCCTTATAACATGTCCAAAGTACGTGAGACAAAATCTCGCCATCGTTGCTCCTAAGGAGCATTCTGGCTGTGCTTCTTCCAAGACAGATTTGTTCGTTCTCTTGGCAGTCCATGGTATATTCAATATTCTTCACCAACACCATAATTCAAAGGCATCAATTCTTCTTCGGTTTTCCTTATTCATTGTCCAGCTTTCTCATGCATATGAGGTGACTGAAAATACCATGGTTTGGATCAGGTGCACCTTAGTCCTCAAAGTGACATCTTTGCTTTTTAACACTTTAAAGAGGTCTTTTGCAGCAGATTTGCCCAACGCAATGTGTCATTTGAATTCTTGACTGCTGCTTCCATGGGTGTTGATTGTGGATCCAAGTAAAATGAAATCCTTGACAACTTCAATCTTTTCTCTGTTTATCATGATGTTGCTTATGGGTCCAGTTGTGAGGATTTTTGTTTCCTTTACTGTAGTCTTTGATCTTCATCAGTAAGTGCTTCAAGTCCTCTTCACTTTCAGCGAGCAAAGTTGTGTCATCTGCATATCACAGGTTGTTAAGGAGTCTTCCTCCAATCCTGATGTCACGTTCTTCATATAGTCCAGCTTTTCAGACTATCTGCCCAGCATACAGATTGAATAAGTATGGTGAAAAGATACAACCTTGACGCACACCTTTCCTGACTTTAAACCACACAGTATCCCATCGTTCTGTTGGAATGACTGCCTCCTTGTCTATGTAAAGTTCTTCATGAGCACAATTAAGTTTCTCTGGAATTCCCATTCTTCCCAGTGTTATCCATAATTCGTTATGATCCACACAGTTGAATGGCTTTGCATAGTCAATAAAACACAGGTAAGCATCTTTCTGGTATTCTCTGCTTTCAGCCAGGATCCATCTGACATCAGGAATGATATCCTTCATTCCATGTCCTTTTCTGAATCCGGCTTGAATTTCTGGCAGTTCCCAGTTGATGTATTGCTACAACCGCTTTTGAATGATCTTCAGCAAAACTTTATGTGACATTAATGATATTGTTCGATAATTTCTGCATTCTGTTGGAGCACCTTTCTTTGGAATGGGAACAAATACTGATCTCTTCCAGTCGGTTGGTCAGGTAGCCGTCTTCCAAATTTCTTGGCATAGGCAAGTGAGTGCTTCCAGTGCCGCATCTGTTCGTTGAAACATCTCAATTGGTATTCCATCAATTCTTGGAGTCTTGTTTTTCTCCAATGCCTTTAGTGTACCTTGGACTTCTTGCTTCAATACCATCAATTCTTGATCATATGCTGCCTCACGTGGGGGTGGGGAGGTTGTGATCACCAGGTGAGAAGATGGTAGGGCTACTGTCGGGTCATTTTTGGGCTACCGACACTTGGCACAGTGCCTGGTGTGTGAGGTGCTTTGTGATTGGTTGTAGAATGAATGAAAAGGCACTCATTCATTTTCCATGGGAATTTAGGAAGTTTCTGGGGCCTGGGTTGTGGGAGGTGCTTCCAAGAGCCGTTTGGTCCCAGGGCATTTCACCAGACCAGATGTAACTTGATGCTTATTTTTACGGTGGAGTCTTCTGCACCATTAGCGTCGTGGTAATTCGTTCTCCAAACCCATGTGAGGTTTCCCCCAGTTCCGAAAACTTTTATCCCCAGGCCACATTTCAAAGTGCTTCTTAAACTATCATTTCATGGCCTTTTTACAGCTGTGGAGGCAGACAGGCCTGGGTTCAGAATTCCAGCTCTGCTACTCACTCACTGGAGAGTCATCATTTTACTCCTCTGAGCATGCTTCTTTGTCCATACAGTGGGAAACTGATTCTTACAGAACTGTTGTAAGGAAGGGCTCTGTAGAGAAGGTAGCATGTACTCTGGGCCTGGTCTGTGTAGTTCATGGCTGTATTCCCAGCATGCCCTGCACAGGATAGGTGATCAATACATTTGTTGAATGAGCAAATGGTTTATGGAAAGAACTAGCATTCCACAGACTGCAGCTTTTGTTATGCCCATTTTACAGAGGAAGAAACTCACCTGGATACAGCCACCCAGGTATTCTGATTTAAATTCCCCAGATTTTCCCATTTTATCACCCAACCAGACATGCTGGGGTCATTCTAACCTCTCTAAAAGGTTCTACTGATGAGTGGACATCCTTTCAATATAACACTCCCAAGAAAATTGACCCCTGTGAGCATTTATTGGGAAGTAACGATTCCAACAAAACCAGGAAGGACCAAATTCCAAAGCAAACAAACTCGCCTGTTCCCCACCCTGGGGGAGGGTGTGCACCCCCGTTCTGCTAAAGATAGAGCTCGGGCCCTCCCCGGGAACTTCCTGGCTTTTATTCGCTCGTAATCCCAAACCGAACTTTCAAAGGCTTTTCTTTTGGAAGTGTGGGTGTGAAACTGCTTCCTTAATCACATCTTGCGGGAGATCTTCGAACATCTGTATATTATTTAAAATCCGAGCATCCGGTTGGGATGTTTGGGTGGGTGGGGACCCTGTGTAGAGAAGTCAAACAGTAGGGGCAAGTTTAACAAGTCAAGATGGCTCTTAAACAGAGTCATAAAAATTAGACAAAAAATACAAATGGCTAATTATCTTGGCTCAATTACACTTTAAAGCCCGCCTCCCCCAATTTTAGCACCAACGTTCAAAGAGGAAATAGGGCGCTTGTAAGTCTAAGCGATAAAGATCTCCTCACCGAGAGCCAAGGGACAAAACTCATTACAGATAAGCCCAGTCCTCCAATTTCCCCTCGACGCCTCTACTCGATTGCTAAAGAGGCTGCCGCTCCCCGGGTATCTGCCAGGAAACCAGTCCTGCCCCGCGGCTCTGCTTTCACCCGGTGGGGGGTAAGAGGCGCACTTCCTGCACCCTCCCTGCGGCCAGACCCGGGTGCGGGAACCTTCCCTCCTCCGGAAGAGCTGCGAGTCGTGAAAACTCCGCCACCAATGCATACTGGCGCCAGGAAAGGGGGCTCGGGGCTTGGAAGGGCTGCATTTTGCAAGCCTCGGATCGATATCCCTCCCCTCCCTCCCTCTCCCAGCCATGGACCCGGCCAATGGAAGCCGGGAAGAGGGGAAAAAACAAAAACAAAAACAAAAAAACCAACGCAGCCAGAGAGCAAAGGCCGCTCGTCTTTGTTTCCAGGCGGGGGAATGCGCCGGGCTGGGGGCGCGAGCAGGGGGCACTGGGGGCGCGCCCTGCCGCGGGGCTGCCAGGGCGGTGATGCAGAACAGGAACCGCCCTCGCCTTAAAAAGGCAACCGGCCGCCTCCCCTCTCCCCAGACCCCGGACAGGACCCACCCCGGTACCCCACAAGTCAGCGACCCGCGAACAACGCAGACCAGGGTAGGAGACCCCGCCAAACCCGCGCAGCGTGAGGCGTCTTTAAGAGGTCGCAGAACTGGAATCTGGCAAAGGCACGCCAACCCCGAAGGCATCCACCCCCTCCCTATTTCCAAGTCCGCGTTACAACCTCCCCCAACCCCAGGGCTGCTGGAGCAGAGTCCGCAGCCCCGGGGGCCGCTGGGCTGTGGGACGGACCCCTAGGAGGCGGGAGCCGAGCGCAGCTGCTTTAAGAGCGCGGACTGCGCGCGTCCGCCGGGGGCG